ATGTTTCAATCGGGGCACACGGAAAAGCCTTCTGGGGTGAGTGGCAAAGTTATCTTTCCTCATCTGGGTTGTAGTTGCAGTTACAAAGGAGTTTGCTATATAATAATTTACTAAGGCATACATTTGTTTTTTTTGTTTTTTTTTTTTGAGACAGGGTCTTGCTTTGTCACCTAGACTGGAGTGCAGCAGTACAATCATGACTCACTGCAGCCTTCAACTTGTAGGCTCAAGCAATCCTCCCACCTCAGCCTCCCCAAGTGCTGGTATTAAAGGAGTGAGCCACTGCACCCAGCACGGACCAATGTATTTAAAACAGTTCCCTACCCCCTCACTGTACTCTCACCCTGTTTTATAACTTTATGTACATTTGTGTACTTGTTATCTTCTGTGTACCCCACTTGTTTGACTTATGCATGCTTACATTCAAGCTAAAAATGTGTATTCTGGACACCCAGTTAAAGTGTCAGAAAGTGACTTTTCTATTATCATACCTCTTTCCCACAGTTACATTTTACTCTTTATTTACCAAAAACAAACAACACTCCTGGTCAGGTGCAGTGGCTCATGCCTGTAATCCCAGCACTTTGGGAGGCCAAGGTGGGCAGATCGCTTGAGCTCAGCAGTTTGAGACTAGCCTGGGCAACACAGCGAAAACCATCTCTACTAAAAATACAAAAAATTAGCTGGGTGTGGTTGCTCATGCCTGTAGTCCCAGTTACCTGGGAAACTGAGGTGGGAGGGTCACCTGAGCCTGAGACGTCCAGGCTCCAGGGAGTTGTGATCCTGCCACTGCACTCTAGCTTGGGCCACAGAGTGAGATCCTGTCTCAAAAAAATTTAAAAATTTTAAAAAGCACTCTAATAGAGATGACTGCCCTCCTTTAATGGACTTTCATGCTAAAATGGGTTTATTGGGTCATTGTACCACTGAAGTTTTCACCATTTATGTGGTTTCCCTTTTAGTGTCTTTCAGTTCCTAACTGGCCATACCCAAACTTAACCAATCAGTCTTACTAAGTGCCTGATCTAGAGGAAAGGGGCAAATCAAAAGAGATGTAAATAATCCTGAGGTTCTGTCTTCCCATTTCTCCCTTAGGGTAGGTTCAATAGGACTGCAACCATTATTGAAGACGTATGTCTAGTAAAGCAAGAAACTCAAGTTCACAGAAAAGGAAGAATATGCAAAGGAACCCAGGTACTAAGATGGGTCAGTAATCCACAGGGCTGGACATCAGCAGTACCTATAACCTGGAAAAAAGAAGACAAAGTACAGAAGGGTAGAGGGAAGAGAAAAAGTGATCTACAAGAAAGGCAAAGGAGAGGAAAAAAAAAAAAAAAAAAAACCCATAACTTCCTAACCTTTCTACTTTCATCAGACCGATTTTATTTATTTATTTATTTATTTATTTATTTATTTATTTATTTGACAGAGTCTCACTCTATTGCCCAGGCTGGAGTGCAATGGTGCGATCTTGGCTCACTGCAACCTCTGCCTCATGATTCTTCTGCCTCAGCCTCACAAGTAGCTGGGATTTCAGGCACACACCACCACACCCAGCTAATTTTTTATTTTAGTAAAGAGACAGGGTTTCTCCATGTTGGGCAGGCTGGTCTCGAACTCCTAACCTCAGGGATCCACCCACCTTGGCCTCCCAAAGTGCTGGGATTACAGGCATGAGCCACCGCACTCAGCCTCATGAGACCAATTTTAGATTGACCAAGTACCTACCTTTGCATCTGAACAGTGGAGCTTGGCCCATTCTGTACATCTCCTTGGCCAAACTGGCCATATGCAGCCTGGCCACAAGGAGCCTGTGCTGTTGAGGCTGGAGGTGCCCCTGAGGAAGGTGGGGCTCTTGACATACCTGAGGGTAAAGGACAGAAACTAAGTGACTGGGAAATAACTTTCTCGTCCACCCTGAGCCAGGAATGCAAAGCAAGGATCAATAAACTCAGACCTTCACTGGCCCAATACCACAGTTTAGGCAGCGAAAAGGACACTACCAGCATACAACTCTAGCTACAGCAGTATTCTAAACACAGATTCCCAACAGGGGGCCTATACTCTCCTAGACAAGCATACTAGGGGTGAAGCTGTAGCCAGAGACACAAGAATGTAGGGCCTTCCTTTGATCACCATACTCTCAGTCAATCCAAGACTACCTAATATTCTTACCCTAGACAACAAGTCAACTCTTCTAAGGAAAAGATCTTACTCCAGAACTCAGAAACCTGGAGCATATATGAAAAAGGACACTCAGAAGATGACCAAGTAATATACTGAACTAGGCTACAAAGAAAGACACTTCTTGGGGAGATTATTCTGCCACCTTCTTCATTCATTCTGCTTATACTAACTATATCCTTTCATCCACTTCTAAGTGTGAAAACTTCAAACAGCACGTGATTCAGGAACGTGTTCCTATAGGTCGGAGACCTTGTTTCTGCCCAACAGTTCAATAAGGACAGCTGACCTGTCCTCCCGTTAGCACTGCCACCTATGTCCTCACAAAAGCTGTACTCCATCCTTCCTATTCCTTAGAACCACCATCAAAGCTACTTTCACTACTCTTAGCCATTCTTCACACATGAAGTTCAGGGAGAAAGCAATTAGTTACTTGGCACATCACTTTTGAAATGTGGATGACCTCTGTTCAAAGAATTGTTTTTCTTTTGCTCTGCCCTCAGTAGAGACTAGACATTATAGAACCTGCCTACAGGAACATGATTAACCTAAACTTGCTCACCAACCATGACAGAATCAGATATGTTTTCCTCTAACAAAGCTTTCTCATGAGAGAATGCCAAACTCCAGGACTTGACAAAGCGGAGGTGGACTCTGTTCAGCCAAAGTCTCAGCTTAGAATTAAGGTTCTTCCAAAGATCTGAGGCCTAATCTCATCAGTTTTTTTTTTTTCCCCCACAGTTATAATTAAAATCGTCATACTTCATTATTTCCCAAATCTTACTGATGCCTTCTTTTTTCCATATCCCTTTATAAAAGCATAAAGAATTTGGCATACCCTAAATCATCAGCTAGCCTAAGCAAAGATTTACTGTTAACTACTTCCAAAAAACCCCTGTGGAGAATCTGTAGAGTACTAGCTGCTCTTCTTGAAAAAGTAAGGTAAAAACCAAACACTCAACCTAAAGCAGCATCGGATTAGTATTCTCTTATTACCATGATATTACAGAGCATCTAAGAAGCAAAGGAAACTCAAGCAAAGGAAAAAGACTGATATCACAAGAAAGATATGAGAGGCACCAAAAGTCAGGCACACAAATATCACACTTTTCATCCCCATAAACTACACTGTCCCAGGCTAATTTATATATAAGAATCATCAGTCCAACAAAAGGCATTCAACATATATGAGGAATAAATGATTTCAAGGAGACTACAAGTCAACAGGAAATATTCGGTCCTGGTCACAGGATCTAGAGGGGCATGGACCACAACCCTTCCATTTAGCTCTGAACAATGTGACCAGGTGATACCCACAGTAAATGAGCTGTCAGTGAACCTGGGAGATGTGTTCCCACTAGATGGATTAAGGCAAAAACACAGTACCTTACCTAAAAACACGGAAGACAGCTGGGCGCGGTGGCTTACGTTTGTAATCCTAGCACTTTGGGAGGCCAAGGCAGGTGGATCACCTGAGGTCAGGAGTTCAAGACCAGCCTGGCCAACATGGCGAAATCCCATCTCTACTAAAAATACAAACAATTAGCCGGGCGTGGTGGCACATGCCTGTAATTCCACTTGAGGTTGGGAGTTCAAGACCAGCCTTGAACAACATGGAGAAACCCATCTCTACTAAAGATACAAAATTAGCTGGGCGTCTGGTGGCGCATGCCTGTGGCTACTGGGAGGCTGAGGCAGGAGAATCACTTGAACCCCAGGAGGCGGAGGTTGCAGTGAGCCATTATCGTTGCCACTGCACTCCAGACTGGGCAACAAGAGTGAAGCTCCGTTTACAAAAAAAAAAAAAAAAAAAAAAAAAACAGGGCCAGGCACGGTAGCTCAAGGCCTGGTAATCCATCAACTTTGGGAGGCATGAGGTGCGCGCGAGACACAAAGTCAGAGTCCAAGACTAGCCTGGCCGCAAGATGGTGAAACCCCATCTCTACTAAAAATGAAAAACGAATTAGCTGGCGTGTGGCGGGCGGCCTGTAATCCTAGCTATCAGGGGAGGCGGAGGCAGAGAAACTGGCTTGAACCTGGGATGGCAGAGGTTGCAGTGAGCCAAGATGGTGCACTGCACTTTCCAGACGTGCACAGAGTTGAGACCTCGTCTCAAAATAATACATAATTAAAATTACAAAAAATTAGCTTGGCGTGGTGGCATGATGCCTGTAATCCAGCCTACTGGGAGGCTGGAAGCAGGAGAATTGCTTAAGCCCAGGGGGCGGAGGTTCACTGAAGTGCAAGTGTTTT